TTTGTTTCTGGTCTTCCTAGGTCTTTGCCTCCCCTCCCGCCCTCGCCTGCCCCGCCCTGCCTTCCTTGCGTCGAGGGGCGGCAGCGCGCCGCTCCTCACTCCTCCTCGTTTCCCCCGACGTCTGCTCCCCTGCAGACTCTCCACATGGACGTGTGGGGCCCAGCCCGCGTCAGTGGACAGGGCCGCGAGCGCTACTTTCTGCTGATTGTTGACGACTACACGCGTTACACCATGGTCTTCCCCTTGCGCAGCAAGGGTGAGGTCCTTGATGTCTTGATCCCTTGGATCCGCGCAGTCCGTCTCCAGCTCCGCGAGCGGTTCCACCAGGACCTTCCTGTCCTGCGTCTACACTCTGACAGAGGTGGTGAGTTCTCCTGTGACTTCCTGCGGGACTTTTCTCGTGGGGAGGGCATTCTCCGGTCGTTCACGCTTCCGGCCTCCCCTTAGCAAAATGGGATAGCTGAGCATTGCATTGGCTTAGTCATGGAGGTGGCTCGAACCTCCATGATCCATGCGGCTGCTCCCCATTTTCTCTGACCGTTTGTGGTCCGGTACGTTGCGCATCAGCTCAACCTCTGGCCCCGTGTCTCATTGCCGGAGACCTCGCCTACACTGCGTGGGATGGGGGAGGTTGGCTATGTGTCAGTGTTCCGGGTCTGGGGCTCTCGTGCCTTTGTTCGCGATACGTCAGCGGACAAGCTCTCCGCCCGCGCTATTCCTTGCGTCTTCCTTGGCTTTCCCCCTAACACGCCTGGCTGGCAGTTTTACCACCCCACCTCGCGCCGTGTCTTCCCCTCTCAGGACGTTACGTTTGACGAGTCGGTTCCCTTTTACCGTCTCTTCCCCTTCCGCTCTGCCCCTCTCCCACCCCCGCCGCTCTTCCTTGCTCTAGGTCCCCCTCCGGCAGACCTCCTCCTCCCCCAGGGTCCTGCTCCCTCAGGTGTGTCTCAGGTAGACCCACTCCCCGGGGCTGTGCTTGTCAAGGTCGCTATAGACTCACGTGCTGCTCGAGGTGCTGCGTCTGGAGGTGCTGCGTCTGGAGGTGCTGCGTCTGGAGGTGCTGCGTCTGGGGGTGCTACGTCTGGGGGTGCTGAGCCTGAGGGTGCGGGGTCTGGGGGTGCTGAGCCTGGGGGTGCGGAGCCTGGGGGTGCTGAGCCTGCGAGTGCGGAGCCTGGGGGTGCTGAGCCTGAGGGCGCGGAGCCTGGGGGTGCTGAGTGTGACGGTGCGGAGTCTGGGGATGCTGCGCCTAGGGGTACTGCTTCTTGTGGAGGTCCTGCGGGTGCCTCGCCAAGACTCTCTCCCCGGCCGGAGCCTCTCTCCCCGCAGCAGCTACGCGAGTGGTTTGATCAGCGCACACGCCTTTGGAGTGGAGCTGCCGGAGGTGGAGGCTCTGCCGCTGGAGACATTGGAGCTGGAGGTGTTGGAGCTACGAGTCTTGGAGGTGTTGGAGTTCCTGCTGGAGCTGGTGGTACCAGAGGTGCTGGAGCTGCTGGTCCTGGAGGTGCTCGTACTAAGGGTACTGGAGCTGTCGGGACTGGTGATTTTGGGGGCGCAAACGCTGGTGGAGCTGGAGCTGGAGACCCTGGCACTGGAGGCGCTGGGGCTGGAGGCGCTGGAGCTGGAGGAGCTGGAGCTGGAGACCCCGGAGGTGGAGGCACTGGCGCTGGCGGCGCTGGAGCTGGAGGATCTGGAGCTCTAGACACTGGAGGTGTTGACCCTGGAGCTGGAGGTTCTAGCGCTAAGGATGCTGTGTCTAGCGGTACTGGAGCTGGAGGCACTCTTCAGCGGCGCCTTTTTTTTCGTTCAGCCGCAGCCGTCGTCTTTGTCGCCACCTGACTCGGTCCTTCGCCAGGTTCTTAGTCTCCCGTCTTCTACTGGTCTTCCTCCTAGCTTACTGTGTCCACCGCCCTGCCAGTCGCTACCACAGTTACTGCCATACTCCCCACTGCCTGCTCCTTCTCCTTACGCTGAGCAGACGGACTCTTTTACAGAGCGTCGTGAGCCTGAGTCTCGTCCTGCCTCGCCTGTTCGCGCTGTTTGCACTGGTCGTCGGGTTCCTCGTCCACGTTCTCCTCCTGTCCCCGGCACCCACGATATGACACTTCGTCCTTCCTCTGTTCCACTGCGAGTTCCTCTGCCGCCTCCTCTTGAGTCCTCTCTTCCTGCCGTTCCTGACCCTAAGTCTGACCTAGCTCGTGCTGCCAGTCCCACTGTCTCTCGTCTCCTCTCCACTGTAGTCATTGACCCTTCTTTTGATTCCACTGCTGCGTCTGCCCTAGTAGCTGAGCTTGCTGAGTTTGCTGCTGCCTGTCGTCTCGACTACGCTACTAGTCTTGTTGCTGAGTCTTAGTCTGACTGTCCTCCGTCCGTCGGGGGTGAGTGTGCTCTTGGCACGGACGTCTTTGAGGATAGGCAGGTGGACTTGAGTTCCTTGCAGCTGCTGTACCTCATCTCGTGGCCATGCTGCTTGCCCCTGAGGGAGACCCTGATGCACCAGACATCCCGACCCCGCGCTCTTACGCAGAGGCGATTACGGGTCCCTACTCCTCTCAGTGGCAGACAGCCATGGACGCAGAGATGGCATCCTGGAAGTCCACAGGCACCTACGTCGACGCAGTTCCCCCGTCTCGGGCGAACATAATCAATGGCATGTGGATTTTCAGGGTGAAGCGGCCGCCTGGTTCTGCGCCTGTCTTCAAGGCTCGTTACGTTGCACGAGGCTTCAGTCAGAGACAGGGAGTTGAATTCTTCCATACCTTCTCCCCTACCCCGAAGATGACCACTCTTCGGGTGTTGCTGCACGTCGCAGCCCAGCGTGACCACGAGCTACACTCTCTTGACTTCAGCACAGCTTTCTTGCAGGGCAGCCTGCACGAGGAGATCTGGTTGCGCCGCCCCCCTGGTTTCACTGGGTCGTTTCCTGCAGGTACCGAGTGGAGCCTCCGGCGGCCAGTCTACGGTCTCCGCCAAACGCCTTGCGAGTGGCACGACACACTGAGGACTACGCTTGCGGCTCTGGGGTTTGCTCCTTCGACTGCTGACCCATCGCTGTTTCTACGCACCGACACTTCGTTGCCGCCATTCTACGTCCTCGTGTACGTCGACGACTTGGTCTTTGCCACTGCTGACACTGAGGCGCTGGCCCTTGTGAAGTCGGAGCTGCAGAAGAGACACACCTGCACTGACTTGGGTGAGCTGCGCAGCTATCTTGGCTTGCAGATCACCCGGGACAGAGCACGGCGCACCATCACCCTGACTCAGTCACACATGGTGCACCAGGTCCTTCAGCGCTTCGGCTTCCGGTACTCCTCGCCACAGTCCACTCCTCTGCCTACCGGTCACTCGCTCTCAGCTCCACCTTCGGACGAGTCCATAGAGCTGAGTGGCCCGTATCCAGAGCTTGTGGGCTGCCTCATGTACCTGATGACCTGCACTCGACCTGACCTTGCCTACCCTCTTAGCATCCTGCCACGCTACGTTGCGCTCGGGAGACACCGACCAGAACACTGGGAGGCTGCTAAGAGGGTGTTGCGCTACTTGTGCAGTACTTCGGGCATGGGGCTCGTGCTTGGAGGACGGGGTCCAGTTGTCCTCACTTGACATGCGGACGCTTCTTGGGTTGACGACTTGGCTACGCAGCGGACGTCACAGGGTTACACCTTCAGCCTTGGTTCCGGCTCTGTTTCCTGGCGGTCTACCCGCTCGTCTTCGGTTCTCAGTTCCAGTTGTGAGGCTGAGATCTACGCAGGGGCCATGGCTGCACAGGAGTTACGCTGGCTCACCTACCTGCTGACCGACTTGGGAGAGCAGCCTCGTTCTCCGCCAGTTTTGTACGTAGACTACAAGGCCATGATTGCCTTGTTTCAGGAGCACAGACGTGAGCACAGAACGAAGCACATTGCTCTTCAGTACTTCCTTGCTCCAGAGTTGCAGCAACGTGGTCAGCTCTGTCTTGCGTACGTGGCCACTCGGGCCAAAACTGCTGATATATTCACCAAGGCACTTCAGTCTGGTGATCATTAGCGTTTCTCTACTGGTTTAGGCCTTGTGCCTACTTTGCCTCACTTGCTCACTGCGTGACTCTGTTGTACTGTGATCTATATATGTTCTTGCATGCTTACTCTTGCTAGGTTTTGATGATTGTGCTGTTTGTTCTCTTTATATAACTCTGCATGTTAATTGGCCTTGTGGCCATTTGCTTGTGCTCGGAATGTGTGGTGACTTCGTGATCCACCCCGAGCTTGCTTTGCTTTTCTTGACTGGTCTTGTGACCACTTGTTCTCCCCCACTTTGCCTATGGGGATGTGTCAAAATGTTATAGTGCTTACATTTGTGTAGGCTATAGTGGGGTAGCACATAAGGGGTACAATCCAAGTAGGGTTAGTACTTGTACCCAACTCATTCATAGTTCATTCATTCTCGTTCGTTAGTTTGACATATGTAGTGCATAGATATGAGCAACGAACCGAACTTAGGTTTGGTTCGAGATGTTCGGTTCGACTTATGTCGAACCGAACTTTTTTTCCTGCCAAACAGGTTTGCGCAAGCCTTGCTGAAGTTCGCGTGAACAGTTCGCGCGAACTTTTTTGGTTCGAGATTCAAACCTCGAACCGAACAGGTTCGAAGTTCGAAAGGGTGAAATTCGAACCGTAAGGGGTTCGAATTTGATTCCCGCCAGAAAAGACCCATGTCGACTTTCCCGTCAAAAACGGGAAAGTCGTAGGTTGGCTGCCATTTGAAGGCTGCCAACCCTAGACTCGTAGCAGAGCAGAGTAGATCTAGATCTAGATCAACTCTTGCTCACCCATGGTTCCCCACTACCATACTAGATGTGTCAAACGTTAACTCGTTATGTTTGACAGATTAGTGATGCCTATTTATTTTCCAGAGAATAGGGTTAGCTTACTGTTTTTTTATTTTTTACCACAGAGTGCAGTCATTCCGTTTTTTAAGTTAAGGGCCCAGCATACCGTTTTTAAAGGAGGGTTGGAACAGCTACCATGTGGAGTTATGGCCAGCCCCACAACGGCGCTGTCAGGGAGCACCAAGAGGGGGTGACCGACCGTGGGCAGCACGATTCTCACACGCCTGGTCCACTGGCCAGGTTTGGGGAAGATTCATTGGGACTCCCTGGGTCGGTTCGCACCTTCAGGGTGGGAACGGAGCTGCGGGGAGTGCGCTCTAATTCCCGTGTGGAGGGGGCTGCGGTAGGGGATGACGAGGGTGATGCGGAGGAGGATGAGGAGGAGGAGGAGGAGGAGGAGGAGGAGGAGGAGGAGGAGGAGGAGGAGGAGGAGGAGGAGGAGGAGGAGGAGGAGGAGGAGGAGGAGGAGGAGGAGGAGGAGGAGGAGGAGGAGGAGGAGGAGGAGGAGGGGGACGGGGAGGGGGAGGGGGAGGAGGAGGAGGAGGAGGAGGAGCACGTGGAGTACGGTCGGGTAGGGGAGCGTGGGGATGAGCAGGATGAATCAGGCAGTGGCGAAGGAAGTGAGTGCGCATATACTCCTACCGATGAGGGGGGTGATGCGGCCGATGACGAGGTCCACGAAATGGATTATTTGGAGGCGGAGGATGGTGGGGAGGAGGACGAGGAAGAGGGCAACGAGGAGGAGGAGGGCGTTGGCGAAAATGAGGGGAGGCGTACGTGTGGGGGGGGTCGCCGCCAGCAAGGGGCGGCTAGTGGAGCAGGAAGGGGGCAGGCTGGTGGTGTTTGGAGTGGGCGTGTGGAGAAGAGGGGTCGCGGGAGGGGGAGGAGAGGTGGAGGTGCGACGGCGCGTTGTCGCACCTCCCGCGGTTCCCCGCCTGCAGAATCGGTGGACGGGGCTAGGCCTCGGCGACGGCAACGTGCTCCGGCCTCTGATTCGGATCTCGGCTTGACTGTCCACATGTTTGGCCCGAAGACATAGGGACGGCGCAAGTGCAAGATGTGCCCAACTACGATTTCATGGCAGAACAACACGACCACATCCGGCAAGCGACACTATTGGAACAAGCACCGTGCACATTTGGGTATCTGGGAGCACAGGTTCAACAACTGGCTTGTGGGTGAGGGTGAGACCTTTCCAGAGAAGGGGTATGAGGGCGTGCCAAATGGGGGGATTGATTGGCCGTATTGCACGCAGTGGCCAAACTTCCCTGGTGTGGGACGTCAGGGCGGCGTTCGCGGAAGGGGGGGTATGGAGCGGTTTGTGGGCCACCGGTTCAGCGTGCGCTCCTTGCGAGAGGCGGTCACCAAGATGGTGGTGACAGGCAACGTGCCTTTCCGCTTCGTGGAGTTGGAGGCGGTGAGTTTGTTGGTGACACTGTAAGGGTTTAGTATGCCTCGATGTCTTGCACTCTTCATGTATGACATGTCCATAAGTGCGCCGTGACACTTGACAACGAATCCTGTCTTTCCTCTTGATTGTCCCGCGCAGTTCCGCGAGCTGATGGTGCTGCTGAACCCGAACGTCGCGAACGTTCGAGTCCTTCCATCAAGGTGGACGGTTGCGCGAGACGTAGTTGTGTTTGCTGAGCGTGCAAGACTGGAGGCGATGGCTGATTTGGCACCACAGCCCGGGGAGCGCGCCACGGGGGTTGCAATCTCCAGTGATATCTGGACCGGGGGGAACGGGAAGGCCTACTCGGTGGTAAAGGGCCACTTTGTGACACGAGATTGGAAGCTGCGGGAGGTGACGCTGGATTTCCGTGAGATGACAGGGCGACACGGGGGAGAGGAGATTGCGGACTTGGTGCTGGAGGTGGTGCGTGATTGGGACTTGGTGGACCGTTGTGTCGCCTTTGTGTGCGACAACGCGTCCAGCAACACCCACGCCTTCCACCTCCTCTCGGGTGGTAGTTCTCGCCCTGCCATTTTCCGCCCAGGCATGCACGTCAGGTACGTCGCTTTGATACGCCTTGGATTCGTGTGCCATGAAGTCGTGATGGTTTATGTTGGGGTTACACCACTGCCGACATGTATGGTTGGTTGTGAACCGTCCTCCCCACCCATCCTCTCGCCCTACCTCAGGTGCACCGCGCACGTGCTGAACTTGGCGGTCCAGACAGCACTGAAGGTCCCCCTTGTGCGCAAGACCCTGCGTCTGGTGCGCGACGTTGCCATCTTTGTTGGTTACTCCCCCATCCGCACGGGGAACTTCCAGGCGGAGCAGGTGCGGGCGTACCCGGGTAGAGCGCCCTTGAAGCTGGTCCAGGACAGCCCTACTCGATGGGGGTCGACGTATGAGATGGCGGTCCGCTTCCTCGAGCTGCGCAGGGCGATCCACGTCCACTTCTACGACGACCAGGTACGACGGTGATAGTATCCTACCACATGCATGGCCATTGCTCCACAGTGTACGTGCTGCCTGCTTGTATTGATTATGATTTAAAGTGACACCCGAATCGATGGTCTCTACCCCAATGCCTCCTCCCTAAACCCCGACCCCAGGGCACGACGCCTAAGGAGCGGAAGCGCTTTAAAAAGCTCCGCCTCAAAGACCAGCACTGGGAGGCGCTTGAGGCATTGAAGGTATTTCTTGCACCCTTCAACGCCGTCACTAAGTCGGCGGAGGGGTCGCTCTACCCGACCATCTCCATGGTCATTCCAAGCTACAACGATCTTCTTGACAGTTTGGAGGAGAAGCTCCATGGCAACCCGTCCCCGCTGATGAGGACGATGACCGTTGCCGCGCTGGGGCACTTGAAGAAGTATGTGTACGCCAGCAGCGACGACCTGCTCATCGCCACGTTCCTTGATCCAGCGATGAGGGAGGGGTACTTCGCTCTGGGCACGTTTGAGACTAGGCACCCAGAGTTGGTTCAGGGAGGGAGGGAGAGGCGGGCAACGGGCCCAGTGACGGTGGAGCAGATCCTGGAGCTGGTGCGCACACGTGTGACGGATTACCAGGCGCAGGCAGCTGCGAGAACGCCAGTGTCTCCACCTGCTGCAGCAGCGCCAGCACCTGCTGCCAACATTGAGGGGGATGAGGCTATTGGCAGTAGGCGCCGCTTGATTGCGCGCGTATCTGCTTCACGTGCTGCAGGAGGGTCTAGGCAGTTGGGGGACGAGGTGGACAGATATGTGGGGCACGATGAGACTGGCGACCTATCCCCCCTCGAGTTGTGGCGCACAGTGAAGAACCTTGACACACTGCGAGCCATGGCCAGGGATTACTTGGCGATTCCCGCCACCTCGGCATCGTGCGAGCGAGCATTCTCACAGAGCAGGAACTTGATCACCTTCCAGTGCACACGCCTGAACACCGAGCGTGTGCGGTCGTGCATGACTCTGCGGTCTTGGTACGACACGCACCCTGGTGGTCGTATCGGCGATGGGGCAGATTCTGCCCGTGCTGCAGCAGCAGTGGACTTGGGGCTCGAGGGAGAGGAGGAATGCGAGGAGGAGGAGGAGGAGGAGGAGGAGGAGGAGGAGGAGGAGGAGGAGGAGGAGGAGGAGGAGGAGGAGGAGGAGGAGGAGGAGGAGGAGGAGGAGGAGGAGGAGGAGGAGGGGGGGGGGGGGGAGGAGGAGGGGGAGGGGGAGGCGACATATGAAGCGGGTGTGGGAGAGGGCCAGGGCTAGGGTGGGGTCGTGTGGATGGGTGGTGCCATCTCATGTTTGAAGTTTCCGTATACTTTTCTTGATTGGAGAGTCGTGACTGTTTTTTACCTCCTCATTTGCTTCTTTTTTCAGAACATGATGCTGTCCATAAACCATTAGACATGCATGTGTTGTAGTGTAACTTGTGCATCATTTTAACCCTCAAACCTTAAAAGGTTCGAGTTCGCTCAAACCTTCAAAGGTTTGAGCAAACCTTTAGGGTTCGCCATTGTATACTCAAACCTCAAACCTTAAAATTCTGAAAAAAGTTCGAGCAAACCTGTTCGGTTCGGTTCGACCAACATGCAAGGTTCGAAAAGGTTTGCTCAAACATGTTTGAGTTCGGTTCGTGCTCATACCTAGTAGTGCATATCAAGCCCAATGTAGACAGTGTTGGAAACAGTTGATTTAAAGCGCTTCTATCGTGTCGAAACATCAAGTCAGAAGCGAAGCAGAACATATCGAAGCATCAGCGAGTCAACCCTCGGAGGTTGAACAACTGCTGGAGGTTACGCGAAAGTCAAAGGTCAGCGACCTTTGACCTGACAAGTACAGCGCGACAGCAAGGACAAACAACTGACTCGCTACTGAGCAGTTGCCCGAGTCGACACTGTATCGAACCGCAACAGCAACAGTAAAATGGTTATTAACCGTATCTCTTCATATTCCTTGTATCCTTATAAAAACTTGTATCTCTTTGTTTTAATCAATCAACTTTGCCCTCACATACCAGCGCAACGTGGTTCACAATCCTTTTATTAAACGCTTCCACTATTACATTGTCCTGCCCTGAATTTAGTCCTGCAAAGATCCAAAGGGCTTTTTCAGCCCAACATGGTATGAGAGCAGTCAGGACAAATTCAACTACAACCAAGACACCCACAACATCACAAAGACATGGCAACGCAGAAGGAGAGAAGCTCCTCTAACGGCTCTCCCGGTACTACTCCTACTCCACCTCCTGCCTCTGGCCTACAGACAGAGGAGGGTACGGCAACAAGACCAAGAGCAACGTCTTCAGAAACTCCCGCGAATCAAGCCGCGGCCTTCGACCCAGACATGATGGAGAAGTTCTTCTCCTTCATGTCCTTCTACGAACAACACCAGCAAGGGGCACCTGCACAGTCAAACAACAGCAACAACAACAACGCAACACCAATGAGCCTCGACGGTTCATCCTACGCACGTGGAAATCAACAGCAACGGCCTACCTTTGCTCCGTACGAGCCCCAGCGTGGCTCCGTCAGCTTTATGCCACACCCGCAGCCTGCATCTGGACAAGAGAAGACACTGGATGCACTTCAAGTTCAGTCGCAGTTCGCGCACGTCTTAAAATTGCAAACGACAAGGCCCCCTGCCATATCCAACACACGGCACACAGTACGATAAGCAGCAGTACACGTATCAGTCAATGATGGCGTACACAATACTACTGAGAAATATCACTTCAAGTCAGCAGCAGAATATACGGTCTTACCGGGGATACGGCAACTCTGCAGAGCTTGCGTACAACCACCTGAAGAACCTGTATCAAGCAACAGACTGCGTAAATCAAAGTCGGTTAATGGCGCAACTGACGACAGTCGAAATGAAACCGGGCGAAAAGGGGATGGCGTATATCAGCCGTTGTCGCGAATTGCGCGACAAACTCCTTCGATGCGGAGGGTCGATTTCAGAAGACGCCTTCGTCACAGTCATCATCGGCGGCCTCGGTCCTCAGTGGAGCTCCACCCGCGCCATACTCCGAGCCCACGGAAAAATATCCGAAGCAGCACTCTGCGCCGAGATCCACGCTGAGCAGCAAGATATGGACCTGCAAGAAGAACGACACAAAAGGAAGACATCAGTGGCCGAATTCGCATTCCACACTCAACGGCGCAACAACAACAACAACTATCGGCATCAATCGAAACCAGTACCTCCGTTCTGTCACCTTTGTTAGACGTCAGGTCACCCCCGTACACACTGCCCAAACCGACCGTTTCGCCCTTCAAGCAGTCAAGTCGCCTCAACGCAAGCGAATCCGACATCTCAAGTACAAGCCACCACAACATCGACGGGAGAACCTGCGCAAGGAACAAGAAACATCGTCAGTTGCATGACACGGCTGACCGACTCCTGCATCACAGAGTCACCACCACATTACTCACCGGAAGAACAACTCGACAACAGCATGCCTCGCCGCGAGTCACTTCAACCAAATCCGACATATGCAGCCATCGCTCAAAGCGAGCCGTCTGGAAAAGATATGTGGTTCTTAGACAGCTGCTTTGGACAGCACATGTGCTCTTCAGGACGCTTTGTTCAACGTGAACACCAACTTCAACGCGAAGTCGTCATCACCGTCGCCAACAATCAGAACCTGCGCACACGACGACAAGGCGTAGTGCAACTTCAGTCACGAGAAACAAACGTCATACTGCAGATGTCAAAGGTTTTAATAGCAGAAGGACTCGGTTACAACCTACTCAGTGTCAGTCAACTGATGGCGAAGGGCATACACCTCGAAGCAAATAGCATCACTCAGGAGTTCAAGTTATACCACGGAAAGGGCGGTCTCTACATCGGGAAGGCGGTCTTGAAAAATAACGTATTCGTCCTCGACTTCGTCCCCAACCTTGGCACCGCTGACAGCGACGGGATCGTCACCTTCACCTCCTGGACTCACCCACCAGATCTTGACCCGAACTTCAGTCCAGAAGGCTTCTGGTACTCGCACACCATCCCTGAGGCAGAACGAACAAGAGCATTAGCAACAATTCAACACTCGGCAGCAGCAGAGACACCATCGGCAGCAGCAGAGACACCATCGGCAGCAGCAGCGGCAACATCGACACCAATCGCTGGTCCTTCAACTTCATCGGCTCAAATCGACGACACTTCACCGACTCCTGCGCAACAGCTTAACCCAACACCACGTGAAGTACATCGAAGTGCAAACTTCACCGCAAGCCTCTACTCCAACTCCGACCTGTATCGTCGCTCACCCGGACATCGCGCTAGCGAAGACATCTGGCACGCACGAATGGGGCATCCAAGTAACACGGTGTTAAACAACACTATCAGAGCAGGAGTACTCGACAAAGATTCACTGCTCCTAACCGATGGAAGCGAACTTCGACGAGCCCGTGGAACGTGCTTTACCTGCCCCGAAGCAGACTTAGCGCATCAACCATTCGCTTCTCACCACAACCCCAGCGCACCAGCTTACGCACCACTTGAGAAAGTGTACAGCGACATCCTGTACAATCGCGAACCTGGACAAGGAGCATACAGCTACACCATCACGTTCATCGATGCCGCCACGCGTTACGTTTGGCACCTCAACATTCCGAGCTGTAGTCCGGGAGGTAGTGACCGCTGCTGTCCAACCCTAGCCGCTGCAACTGCCGTGATAGTGGCCATGACAGGCAGTGGCGGTCAATAGTAGGTCCAGCACCTCCGGCACCAGCAGCACCTCCAGCACTCCCAGTCGCACGTCCGGCACTAGCAGCACCTCCAGCACTCCCAGTCGCACCTCCAGCACCCCCAGCACCAGCAGCACTCCCAGCACTCCCAGCAGCACCTCCACCAGCAGCAGCAGTAGCACGAGCAGCAGTAGCAGCAGTAGTGGCAGCAGGGCGGCTCGGTGGGGCTGGTGATCAAGGTAGGGCGGCGCGGCTCGGGCTGGGCGGCGCGGCTTGGCCGGGCAGGGGGCGCCGCGGGCTGCAGGACAGGGCGCGCGGTGGACAGGGCAGCAGGGCGCACGCTGTGCAGGGCAGTAGGGCGCGACGTGTGGGGCAGCAGAGTGCGACGCGCTGGCTGCAGTAGGGCGCGACGCGCTGGCTGCAGCAGGGCGCGACGCGCTGGCTGCAGCAGGGCACGACGCGCAGGGCAGCAGAGCGCGACGCGCTGGCTGCAGTAGGGCGCGACGCGCAGGGCAGCAGTAGGTCGCGACGCGCTGGCTGCAGCAGGGCACGACGCGCAGGGCAGCAGGGCACGATGTGCAGAGCAGCTGAGCGCGACGCGCGGGCTGCAGCAGGGCGCGACGTGCGGGGGGGGGGGCAGGCATTGCGAGTAGCTGCAGGGCAGCGCGACACTGTGCGAGCAGGGCCGGACAGCGCAAGGGCGCTTCGGGCAGGAACGAGCGAAACTATCGGTGGGCCCTAAAAACTTAACAGGTTTCCTGCTCTGAATACCATGTCATAATCATTGTGCAGGAATGAATGAACAATGAATGAGTTGGGTACAAGTAACCCTAAAGTGTTGTACCCCTTGTAGGCTAACCCACTATAGCCTAGAGAACACAAACATATAGTTTGACATAACAGTGTGGTGTTGCGGCTTCAAGTCTCAACACCAGAATGACATTTCTTGTTTTGGTACCGTACTGTACAGCAGTGGTTATTTTTACCACTGCCAGCCAGAATCCGCAGGTTGCATGTCGTAACCTATTTCATATCGTTTTACTTTCTCCTGGTTTGATTGCACGGACTAGGTGGTGTACACAACCCGAGACTGACAAACACTGCAGCAGCACAGTGTCAAGACACAGTCAGCTAATGTAAGAAAACTTCCACAGATTCGGTCACCACTTGAAGAAAACGTTTGCAAAATATTCAACCTACCGTCACACAAAAGAGAAACAAAAAACAAACAAAAAAACACAGAATAAATTCCACACGCAGACCCACACACACACGACAACCTTATGACAGAATGACTGCCTATCCCTCTCAAGAGCAGGTATGTTGACGAATGAAAGACTGCAAGTCTTCGGACAACGCAAGTTTTTCCCCGTACAGGAAGCGGGAAGCCATGTACCATATAGCACACTACACTGCACACATTTTCGCCCCCGCCCCTCATCCCACTGATGACGCTTTCCTCCAAGTCCCAACCACTGGTATTTTCCTCCCACGCCCCCCCCACAAATGTAGACAATCAATGGCTCAAAAACCATCACCGACCAACTACGCCGGTCCCCGAACGTAACGCCCTTGCCCTGCACTGCTTCTGAGGCAGCCAATGAGGATACCAATAAGAAGCGGAACCATCTGCTATCCGAATCAGTTTGCTCCTAACTGCCGCCACCAAAACGCCTCCAGCTGCTGCAGCTACAACCGCGACCGCGACCGCCTGCTATTCCTGCTGCTGCCACCAGCACTACCAACATTCCAACAGCCGGATGAAGGTTACTTTTAAGATGTCTCAAAAGTCGCGGCCAAAACGCCTCCAGCTCCTGTAGCTACAACCGCGACCGCGACCGCCTGCTATTCCTGGTGCTGCCACCAGCACCACCAGCATCGCGTTCCTGCAGCCGGATGTAGGTTCAACCATTGAAATTAACCATTGAAATTAATGCACCTGCAAGAAACGTCAGTGGCCCAACCAAAACTTCTGCAGCTGCAACGACCACTGAAACCCCTGTAGCTGTAGCTGTAGCTGAAACCCCTGTAGCTGCAGTTGCGGATCAAACTGCTGCCGTGCCACCAAAGCCCCTGCTTCTGTCAACGGTTATTGCTGAAATGTTCTCAAATATAACTGTTGCCATCTCAACTTTCAGTCACTGTAACTGTAAAACCCCTGCGATCAAACTGCTCCAACCAAGCGCTGACGTAGAATCAAAGCTCCCATCCGACTGTCACACAGACCTGCCCTGAACCTGTTCGTGCCGACTAGACCGTTACTGTCCTTAGCAGGATTAAAAGCCGGCTGCCCTTAGCAGCGGCTGCTGCTGCAGCCACTGCTGCTGCTGGTGCCGCCATGCTGCCACTACTAGCTTTCTGTGTAAATGAATGTACGCACAAGGCTCAAGCTGACAGCCAACCAACTGCTCCAAAGAAAAAGGAGTTGATTCTTCCCAACTGCCTCTTTCCACCACTCAGTGTTAGCAGCGCTCCGTCTCCAGCAACCCGTTAAAAGTGGGCAGCTGTATCCGTCCTCAAAACTGACCGACTTGAAAAAAGCAGACCGGGGAAAAAAAAAAAAAAAAAAAAACAGTGAAACACATGTGAAGGACAATCAGCAGGAAGGTCAAGAGGACTGTTACTCTACCGCGGCGACGGCTGCAGCAGCAGGAACAGGTGCCGAGACATAAGGCGCAGCAGTGACAGACAGAGAGGCAGCAGAAGGGGGAGCAGAAGTGAGAGGAGCAGGAGCAGCAGCAGGAGCAGGAGGGGGGGCAGTGACAGACAAGGCATGGAATGCAAGTTCGGCAGGTTTGAGCGACTGGGTGATGGGCAGGCGGGTGGAGAAGGCGAGTTCCAGGAGAGAGGGCGAGGGGCGGGATGGGGAGGCGAGCAGGGGAGATGCGGACAAGAGGATTGGGCTGGCCGAGGGGGTGGAGACACGGGGAGTAGCAGCAGGTGTAGGAGCAGCGGTGGCAGCGTCGGCAGGGGTGGAATCAGCAGCAGTGAGGGCAGCGGGGGCAGCAGGTAGTGGTGAGGAGGAGGGGGTTGTTTCTGCTGCTGCTGCACTGCCATCAGCAGCAGGAGCAGGGGGTGGGAACTTGGGCGGGGAGTGTGAAAGAAGAGCAGCTGGTGGGGATGGAGCAGCAGCAGCAGTGGTGGACGGGGAAGCGACTGGCTTGGAGATGACGTGGAGCATTTCCCGCATGGCCGCCTGGAAGAGGGGGAGATGGGTGAGGGAGCGAGTGCGGGAGGGAGCGAGAGGGGAGGGAGGTACAGAAGATTAGAAACGCGGTGGTGGCAGTGGAAGGGGTGGGGGGGAGAGGGGCTTGGAGATGACGTGAAGGATTTCTTGCATGACCGCCTGGGAGAGGAAGAGATGGGTGAGGGAGCAAGTGATGGAGGGATATCAGACAATTAGAAGCGCGTCTGGTGCAGGGAAATCGGGAATGTCCGACAAAATCAGTGCGGGGGAGTCTGTAACCCTTGGGATGCACATTCAGAGGCAGTGCATTTTCGACATCAACTGTCCAGAAAAACCAAGTGAGTATTTCACATAGTTGTGAGCATCAGTTGTACATTCCAAGGTCGAACCTTGCATGGGCTTGGGACATGTTCTCAGCGAGCAGCAAACTGAGAACATGTCCCAAGACAAGGTCGAACCTTGCATGGGCTGATGCTCACAACTATGTGAAATACTTACTTCAAGCCGTTGGCCCAAATTGCACAAGTTTTAAAAAGTTGACGAGAGGGGTTTTGGCTGGTTTGGGTGTTGGCGAGTGTTTCCGATTTCGTGAAAATCGTTTTTTTTTCGCCAAACCCAGCCAGCCCCTCGTTTCTACACTGGTGGGTGTGTCAGACCTCGGAAGTCCCAAATTGCAGCTGCGCTTCTTTTCAAAGCTTGCACAGCCCACTTCGTCAAGTTTTAAAAACTTGACCCGCGCGGTCCGCAATTTGGGCCGCGGGCTTTAATTTTTCTAGGCAGTTGATGTCGAAAATGCACTGCCTCTGAATGTATATCCCAAGTGTTGGAAACTCCCCCGCGTTGATTTTGTCTAACTGACTGCCAAACACATGCACACCCACATACTCCCCATCCCCCCTCCCCCCCCCCCCCAGACCCACACGCCTGCACGTGCCACATGGCAAACGAGCCAAACACATGCACACCCACATACCCCCCCTCCCCCACACACACACCTGCACGTGCCACATAGCAAACGAGCCGGAGCCGATGTTAGCGCCGGGGCGGAGCGGATCATCAATCCAGAGAGCAGCCGGCGGCATGGAGGGGTCCCTCCAGAACACGCCGCCCGGCATGCCGTTCAGACCCTGGGAGATGGTAGTGGAAGGGCGAACAAAAGGATCAACATGAGAGAATGGAGGGGAATGAGGGGGATAGTAAGACACAAGCAGCCGGCGGCATGGAGGGTTCCCGCCAGAACACGCCGCCCGACATGCCGTTCAGACATGAGAATGAGAATGAGAATGAGAATGAGAGCGAGAGGGCAGCAGCAGCAGGAGGCATGGAGAGGTCCCTAAAAACAAACATTCAGCCATGCCATTCAGACCCTGTCGTCCCGCTTACTCTCAGAATGAGGCGCACACGAGAGGTCAATTTCCTTGCCAAACAGATGCAGGAATCCAATACATGTTGAATTTTGAGGCGTAATAAAAACTGACTAGTCCCACTTGTGCTGAGAATGAGGCGCACGCGACCAGACCCTCATTTAGGCATGAACAGACCTATTTGAACACGCCTACTATCCTCTCACTTACCCTGAGAATGAAGCGCACGCGACCAGACCCTCATTTAGGCATGAACAGACCTATTTGAACACGCCTACTATCCTCTCACTTACCCTGAGAATGAGGCGCACGCGACCAGACCCTCATTTAGGCATGAACAGACCTATTTGAACACGCCTACTATCCTCTCACTTACCCTGAGAATGAAGCGCACGCGACCAGACCCTCATTTAGGCATGAACAGACCTATTTGAACACGCCTACTATCCTCTCACTTACCCTGAGAATGAGGCGCACGCGACCAGACCCTCATTTAGGCATGAACAGACCTATTTGAACACGCCTACTATCCTCTCACTTACCCTGAGAATGAGGCGCACGCGACCAGACCCTCATTTAGGCATGAACAGACCTATTTGAACACGCCTACTATCCTCTCACTTACCCTGAGAATGAGGCGCACGCGACCAGACCCTCATTTAGGCATGAACAGACCTATTTGAACACGCCTACTATCCTCTCACTTACCCTGAGAATGAGGCGCACGCGACCAGACCCTCATTTAGGCATGAACAGACCTATTTGAACACGCCTACTATCCTCTCACTTACCCTGAGAATGAGGCGCACGCGACCAGACCCTCATTTAGGCATGAACAGACCTATTTGAACACGCCTACTATCCTCTCACTTACCCTGAGAATGAGGCGCACACGACCAGACCCTCATTTAGGCATGAACAGACCTATTTGAACACGCCTACTATCCTCTCACTTACCCTGAGAATGAAGCGCACGCGACCAGACCCTCATTTAGGCATGAACAGACCTATTTGAACACGCCTACTATCCTCTCACTTACCCTGAGAATGAGGCGCACGCGACCAGACCCTCATTTAGGCATGAACAGACCTATTTGAACACGCCTACTATCCTCTCACTTACCCTGAGAATGAGGCGCACGCGACCAGACCCTCATTTAGGCATGAACAGACCTATTTGAACACGCCTACTATCCTCTCACTTACCCTGAGAATGAGGCGCACGCGACCAGACCCTCATTTAGGCATGAACAGACCTATTTGAACACGCCTACTATCCTCTCACTTACCCTGAGAATGAGGCGCACGCGAGGTCAATTTCCTGGCCGAACAGATGCAGGAAACCGATTGTGTTGCGTTTTGAGGCACCTTAGAAGCCATCTATCGTCTCACTTACCCTGAGAATGAGGCGCACGCGAGAAAGGTCGATCTCCTGACCAAACAGATGCAGGAAACCGATAAGCAGCACTCCCAGGTTAGGCACAGGTACGGACTGCGTCGAGCCTGGCAAGTCGTCCACCACCACCCCCTTTACAGGTCCGTCCGCTGCAGTCACTGCCGCCACTTCATCAGCCTTGCTGCTGCCACTGCTGCTGCCATTCTCGGCAGCTGATGGTTTTTCTTCTGTGCCAGCTGCAGCATCAGCATCTGAAGACCCAGCAGCTCCATCACCAGCAGCAGCAGTAGCAGTGGCATCATCGCCGCCCGAAGCAGCAGCTGCGGCGGTGGTAACACTATCTGAAGCAGTCGCATTTTCCGCTGAAACAGCAGCAGCAGCAGCAGCATCAGCACCATTATCAGCAGCAGCAGCATCGCCACTGGCTTGCTCAACCTTGGAGTCTGCAGACTTGGATCCTGGTGACTTGGCTGCTGCCTCAGCAGGAGCAGGAGTAGCAGGAGGGGGGGACATGCCACATGCGACAGGAGCTCTCTGCAGGGATGGGAAGAAAAGGAGAGAACAGACACACAGAAGTGTTGGGCACCAAACTTCAGCAGCATCAGCACCACCAGCGGCATTGCTTTGAGACGTCTCAAAACACTTCAACCCTACTAATGCAGCAGCAGCAACAGCTGCACCAACAGCAGCAGCAACAAGAGGAGGCAGGACCGCACCGCATACAATGGGAAGGGGAACTGGTTAGAGCGCAAAAAAAAAGGGCAGGTTTCCAGGTAGAAAACGGGCACCATGGTCAGAAAAAACGAATTGTAGATGGCTCAAAGAACGTACCTCAAGGTAAACCACGAGCATCATGGTGAGGGGAAAGAGTTAAGGGGGCTCGGACAAACCGTACCTCCAAAAAAAGGGTTAAAAAGGGGCTCGGACAAACCGTACCTCGAGGTAAAACACGAGCATCATGGTCAGCGAGAAGGAGCCGAGCCCGCCAGTGTAGACGTCCTTCAGTCCTCGGTGGTGCAGGTAGGACTTCATCAGCAGCACCTGAGGGAGGGAGAGGAAAGAAACAGGCAGGCAAGCGGATCAGCACAAGGGAGGCTGGCTGGCTGGATGCACAGGGAGGAGCGCAGCCCACCGGAGTAAACGTCCTTGAGGCCTCAGTGGTGCAAGTAGGACTTCATCAGCAGCACCTGGCGAGCGGGATTAGGGAGAACGGGAGAGGAGAGGAAAAATGCAGGCATGCAAATCAGCACAAGGGCGGCTGGCTGGATGCACTCGCATAGAGAGGAGCCGGGCCTGCCAGTGTAGACGTCCTTGAGTCCTCAGTGATGCAATGCAAATAACACTTGATCAACAGCACATGGGATGGGAGAGAGAGGCAAGTGGAACCGGACAGGCAACGGACTCACTCCAAGGAAGGCTGGCTGGATTCATTCTAGTTTTGAGACGTCTCAAAACTAGGAAGGCTGGCTGGATTCATTCACACAGACACCCGAAGGTTCGCCATTTCCAAGAATCCACGCTTCACACCCAACCCCAAACTCTAACCCTTACCTGTGGTCCCAGCTCCTTCAAGAAGGTCGAAGAGACTCACTAGTTGAGCAAGAGAAAAGTCATATATTTGAGCTGTCAGCGCCCTGCTGGCAGCATCCCCCACCTCCATGCCCTTGGGGCGCGACAGGGAGAAGGTGATGTCCATCCGAACCCCTTACCTTACCTCTTCCCCCCCACCCTGCCCTCAGCCCTCGGACCCAGCCCCGGCCCCGACCCCGGCCCCGGCCCCGGCCCTGGCCCTCTTCAAGCAAGACAAACTAGACTCACCAGGGAAACCCAGCCCTTACACTCACCAGGGGGGCGAGAGCCGGCATCTTCTTGAGGCGTTCAATCACAAGCTCCCTGGCGGCCGACCCGTTGTGATGTCCATCTGATCCTCTCACTCCTCGTGCACTCAGTCTCACCAGGGAAGCCCAGCCCAGCCCATAGACTCACCAGGGGAGCCAGGGCGGGCATTTTCCTGAGGCGTTCAATCACGAGCTCTATGGCGACCGACCCGTTGTGACGTCCATCTGATCCTCTCACTCCTCGTGCACTCACTCTCACCAGGGAAGCCCAGCCCAGCTACGTTGGCAGATACGCCTTGGGCAGGGTTGCGTACCACGTATATACGCTTGCGTATATACGTGATACGCTAATACGCTCGTATTTCTTGGAAATACGCCCGGGCAGCCCGCCGAAAAAAAGAAAATCGAAATTGAAAAATTTCGCGAATGTTTTGCGACTTCGCGATTTGTTACCGCAAAGTCGCACATCGCCCAACCCACTTCTGAAATTCAAATTTTGAGCTCCAAACCTCCCACCACCCCAACCACACACCACCCCACCAAACCTCTCATCTCCAACCATCCCTCTCAAATGTTGTTCAGCAACTCGTCTGCTCATATACTGGGGTGGTGTTGGAAAAGCCCCGCAAGGAACTCGGCTGTGTGGAGGCTAGCTAGAGGGTGGGGTGGGGATGTATGGGGTGGGGAGAAGTAGCCCCAAAGATGTATCTCTGGATATTTATGAAATTAAATTATGACATGACATGTGTGTTTGGGAAACATAACCCCCCCCCCTTGAACAGGTTTTTTTTAGCCCTGCCCGGGAAAAAAGTTTTACCTGCCCGCCCAGCGTATTTTTACGTATCACGAGTACGCCACCCCTAGCGTACCGCGTATATACCCAGCGTATAATACGCTAGCGTATTATACGCGATACTCGTATCTGCCAACGTAGCAGCCCAGCCCATAGACTCACCAGGGGGGCGAGGGCGGGCATCTTCCTGAGGCGTTCAATCACAAGCTCCCTGGCCGCCGACCCGTTGTGAGCCGCAGCCGCCTCGTCCAGCTTCCCCGCCAGCACCCTGCTGGCCGCATCAGTCACCTCCATGCCCTTGGGGCGCGACAGGGAGAACGTAATGTCCATCCGAACCACTCCCTGCACGCTCGGCCCCACCAGGTCCGACGCCGAAGCAGACGGCTTCAGCACCGTGGCTGCTGCTGCTGCCAAACCTGCTGCTGTTGCTGCTGTGCTGTTTGCCTCTCCTGCTTCACTCTCTCCCACCAACCCCCCACCGCTCCCCTCTGTGGAACCTGCAGACCCAGCACCCCGCTCAGGAGTCGACGGGGCCTTCTCCTTCTCTTCCTCTGCTCCTTCAGCAGCAGCGGGTGGCAGCGGGCGGCACTTGAGCTTGATGACGGGGATGCGGGCGGTTTCAATGGTGTGCAGGCTCTCACACCACGGCTGCTTCTTCAGAGCCGCTGCCAGCTGGCGGATGAGTGGCGCACTGATGCGCGCACCTGGCAGGGAGGGAGAAACAGCAGGCTTTTAGTTTGAAATGCACAGACTAAGTCCGAACTCATTACTTAACCTAGCAGATATATCTGCAAAAAACAGTAGGCCATATTCCTTTGAAAAGCTGTTTATTTACTACTTGATGCAGTGCAGGTATTTATGTGATTACTTTATATATACTCCATGCAGTACAGTTAGCCGGTGCGTGTGAGCATTTAAGAGACTGTTATACCCGCATGATGCAGTTCCTGTTGCAACAACCTAATACGTCCACTCCACCCTAGGGCCTGATGCACGCACGCACCTGACAGGCTGGCGAGCTCTGGTAGGTCGGCGGGTGGTGGAGGTGCGTTAATCACTGCTTTTGCGGCGCCTCAAAAGTTATGCAAACACTTAGGGCCTGATGTACGCACGCACCTGACAGGCTGGCGATATCTGGTAGGTCTGCGGGTGGTGGAGGTGACTTTCAAGTCAGCTCAACTTTCGAGGCACCTAAAAAATCAACTGATAAAGCGGTCCATTCACCTTGTGCCTTTTCAAGCACTTGACAGGCTCATGCACGCACGCACCTGACAGGGTTGCGAGCTCAGGTAGGTCAGCAATTGGAACGGGTGCCCTTTGAGTCAAGTCAGTACATTCGCCTCGACTCATAAGTCGACTCAAAAGTCGGTATATTCACTCGTACATTCACCTCGTACATTCACCTCGTACATTCACCTTGTACATTCACCTCGTACTTTCACCTCGTACATTCACCTCGTACATTCACCTCGTACATTCACCTCGTACATTCACCTCGTACATTCACCTTGTACATTCACCTCGTACTTTCACCTCGTACATTCACCTCGTACATTCACCTCGTACATTCACCTCGTACATTCACCTCGTACATTCACCTCGTGCATTCACCTCGTACATTCACTCGCAAGCACTTGACAGGCTCATGCACGCACACACGCACCTGACAGGCTGGCCAGCTCCGGTAGGTCAGCTGGCGGAGGAGGTGCGTTGATCACTGCTTTTGCGGCGCCTCAAAATTTATGCAACACTTGACAGGCTCATGCACGCACGCACCTGACAGGGTCGCAAGCTCCGGTAGGTCAACAAATTGGAACGGGTGCCCTTTGAGTCAAGTCAGTACATTCACCTCGACTCATAAGTCAACTCAAAAGTCAAACACCTAAAGCCTCATGAATGCACACACCTGACAGGGTCGCAAGCTCTGGTAGGTCAGCGGGTGGAGGAGGTGCGTTAATCACTGCCACGTCAACGTCGCTGTGAGCAAGGGCAAGGCCAGTGGCAAATGAACCAAACACCTGAGAGAATGGGAGTGAATGGGAGGGCGGATAGAGAAGTAGGGAGCAGGAGTGGGAGTGGAAGGGGTTTTTGGAGGGGTGGGGAAGAGGGGGGAGAAGGGAGAAAGGGGTTGCCTTGATCACTGGCACATCAACATTGCTGTGAGCGAGGGCAAGCCCATGGCGAAGGAGCCAAACACCCGAGGGAATGGGCAAAACCGGGAGAGCAACTAGAGAGGAGGAAAACTGGAATGGGACTGGAGTATGTTTTTTGAGGGGTTTGGGGGGTTGGGGTGCACGAATCACTGTCACATCAACATCAATGTGAGCACACAGCAAGGCCACCACCATAAGTCACAATAAGCGTCTTGGCCAATATTCGGCACGACTACTCACCTCAACGTCAGCTCCTTCCCAAAGCGACCTGACCGTCCGCCTGACACACGCCACTGCCTGCTCCGCGCTGACCCGCGCCTCCCTGGGCGGCCGCACCTCCTCTGCATACGCCAGCACCTCCCCATGCAGCGCCGCCGCGTTTTGCAGCAGCGCAGCTGGTGGCACCGGGAACGCCGGGAACCCTGCGATCGGCACGGCTAGCATGCGCGGATGCAGGTGCGGGAGTGGGTGCGGGTGGGGATGTGGATGGGCGCGGGGGTGGGCGTGAGGGTTGGTGTGCGCGTGGAGGGGGGTTTGGCCTGCGGCGTGAGTGAGTGGAGTGAAGGGGAGAGGGTGGTAGAGAGAGGAGGGAGGAGCGCCTCCAGGGAAGACCCCTGCAGTTCCTGTGTGGAAAGGGGGGGCTGGAATCACGGATCCCGCTGCTCCTGCTGCTGCTGCTGGAATAACGCCACGTCCTTGCCCCACTGCTGCAGGAGCAGCAGCACCAGCAGCACCAGCAGCACCAGCAGCACCAGCCACAGCAGCAGCGGAACCAACGCCACTCAAAGAAGCTGCTGCTGCCGCCGCAGCAGCTGCAGAAGCACCAGCAGCAACGACGCCACCTCCAGCCTGCCTCACCCCCCCTGCTGCCCCTGCCCCTGTTGCTGCTGCTCCAGCAGCAGCTGTTGCTCCCCCGTGCCGATACCCGCCTCCTCTGCCCCCCCCAGCGCCAGCAGCAGCGCTGCCTCCCCCAGGCGCAGCAGCCCCCTGGCGTTGCTGGTACCTCATAGGCCGCCCGTGCTGATTTCCCTGCTGATGCTGGTGCTGATGCTGGTGATGCTGGTGGTGCTGGTGGTGCGGTTGGTGCTGCTGCTGCCGTTGCATGTGCAGAATCGGCTGCCCAGCGCCTGCCGCCGCCGCAGCAGCAGCAGAAGCAGCGTGGGTAGGAGCTGAGGCGGTGTGCTGATGTGGAGAGGCCGCAGATGATGCAGCTGATGCAGATACACCAGTGGAAGCTCCGGAAGGTACGCCAGTAGAACCGCTACTCTTCCCCCCCTGCTGCTGCTGCTGGTGCTGGTGATGATGGTGGTGGTTGTGATGCTGATTCTGCCGCTGCGGCTGAGACGAACCCCTAGCAGCAACTTTAGACCCCGCTCCTCCTCCTCCCCCTCCACCACCACTGCTCTTCTTAGCACCGCCCTCACTCTCACCCCCCTGGGTCTTTCCCTTCTGTCCCACCGTCCCACCCTCCCCAGGTTTCTCACACCCACCTTCCTTCTCCAACCCCTCTTCCTTATCCCCTGTCTTGCCACTCTCAACCTTCCTCCCATCCTTCCCCTTCTCCCCCGCACTTGAGCCTGCACCAGCCTGCTCTCCAGCCTTCCCTGCATGCTCTCCCCCCCTACCCTGCTGCCCCTGCTGCTGTCTCTGCCCGTCCTGCTTCCCACTGGCGCCATGAGACTGCGACCCCTGGTGCTTCTGGTTTCTCCCTTCAACAGACCCAGCGCCAGCGCCTGCCTGGCCTGCGCTTCCCTGCCCCGCCCCGCTGTCGCCCAGACGCTTCAGTATGGCCGCGTCGTTCCCCTGCCACGCCGGGCGTCGGGACCTCGCCGGCTGTGGTGCCGCTGCCAGCGGTTTCCCATCCGCGGTTGTAGCAGCAGCAGCTGCGTCGTTCACGGCTGTAGCCGCGCCAGCGCCGGTAGAGGCGCCAGCTGCCTGCCCGTCCTCCCCACCAGCGCGGGCTGCTACAGCCGTGGTAGACGCAGCACCGCCTGTAGCACCACCCGTTGCACCAGCAGCAGCCCCCACACCAGCAATAGGTGCACCCCCTGCGGTCCTATCCGCCCCTTTGCCCGCCCCCTTCTTTCCCCCGCCCTTTCCTTCCTTGCCCCCTCCTGCAGCTGGCGCCCCCCTTTTCACCCACACACCCGCGGGTTTCTCTTCCCCACTCGCCCTCCGGGGCCCCCTTCCGCCCGTCCCCGCAGCAGGTCCCGCCGCCCCCCCTGCTCCGCCCCTTCCTTGCGCCTTCTCCTTGGGTCCGCTAGACACTTTAATCCACCCCTCCTCCTCCTCCTCACCACCCTGCTCCCCGCTCGCACTCGGGGCTTTAGCCGCTGGTTTACCCTCTTTTGGAGGGCTACTTGAGCGAGTTTCCCCTGGCGCTGGTACTGTTGCTCCTGCCACAGAAGCAGGTGCGTCAGTGCTAGCAGAAGCGCTAGCTGAGTCCGAGCGGGGTTCTTCCTTGCTCACCTCCGCCACCCCTGCTGCGCCTGCTCTGTCTGCCACTCCCCCCGCCCCTCCGCCAGTCTCTCCCGCGCCTCCCCCTGAGGGCACTCCCGCTGCGCCCTCCGCGCCTTCAGGACTTCCCCCAGCAGCCGCGCCTTCCTCCGCCTTCCCCAGCAAAACCGCAGCAAATGACACATTGGCGCTGCGCACCGACCACACACTCCCCCCACCTCCCGCCCCACCTGCGCCCCCCTCCCCCGCAGCCTTCCCCGGACTCCCGCCTCTCCCCGCCCTCTCCGCGTCTGCCTCCCCCGGTTTTCCCCCCTCCGCCCCTTGCTCGGAAGAGGAGGACTCTTCGCTCCGCCTATCCTCCGTATGGAGAACCCCGTTACCGTTACACTCCGCCTCGTGCTCCCCCCCGCCCGCGGACGACCGCTCCTCGCTGCTGCTTCCCCCCGTGGTGCTCAAATCGGGGGAAACCAGTCCGCTCCCGCTACTGGACGACTTGCTGCAGCCGTCTGCCTCCCCCTGCCGCCACCGCCCTGCGGAATCCGCGCGGCCTCCGCTGTCCTTTCCACCAGCTGCGGGAGGCGCGGGCGGCGGCGGCGGAACTGCTGCTGCCCCTGCTGCGCCGCCGCCTCCCCCTCGCCCTGCGCCCGCTCCTCCTGCTCCCCCTCCCCCCCCCCCAGCATGTCCCACGCCATTGCCCGCTTGGTTCTGCGTGGAGCGCCAATGCGCCCCCTGATGCGGGTGCCCGTGCTTCTTCCCGCGGAAATGCCCCCCACCGCCGCCAGAATAACCGCCGCGCATACCCCTGCCCTTGGATTTGACCTTCTCCCACTGCCCGCCCTCCTCGTCCCCCTGCTGCTGCTTCTCCCCCTCGCCTTCTCCCCCTTCCAGCAACCCAAAGACTCTCAGCAAGTTGTTGGCCTGCACGAGGAACCAAGAGGGAAAAAGGCACGTGTAAAAAGGTTGGGTTTTGAGACGTTTCAAAACCAAAAACCAAAGACTCTCAGCAAGTTGTTGGCCTGCACGAGGAACCAAGAGGGAAAAAGGCACGTGTAAAAGGTTGGTTTTGAGACGTTTCAAAACTCAACAAACCAAAGACTCTCAGCAAGTTGTTGGCCTGCACGAAGAACCAAGAGGGAAGAGGGAAACGCAAAAACAAAAAGGAAGTGGGAGCGCTGCTGCTTTCCCCCGCCCTTGAGCTAGAACTTGTCTTACTGCCCGCCCTCCTCGTCCCCCTGCTACTGCTGCGGCTGCTGCTGCTGCGGCTACTGCTGCAGCTGCCTTTCACCTTCCCCCCAATCCAGCAGACCAGAAATCCGAAAAAGGATATTCGCCTGTAGGAAGAATGAACAAAAACCTTCCTAGACCTTTCATAAGGGCATCTTACCTTCGCGTTAAGAGACGCCTCAACTCCCCAGGCCACGCTACCTCCAAGCCACCATGTCTTAACGCAATCACAAAGCAAGCTTCAACCAGCAACCAAGCAAAAACGTTCCAGAAGCAATCATCCCTTGCCAGGAAGGGATGATCTTGCATTCACCCCTAAAAAAAAAGTACCTCGAAACGTACCTCGGAACGTTCCATGGAAAAAAGGAGCGTTCTTTAGCATGAAAGAACGTATCCGCCCTGGTGCATTGGTACAACTTCTTGTGTGTTTACTTAAAAGTCAGAATTTTGCATTTACCCTTCCCATAGATCGTACCTGATTTTAGCATACGCCCCCCTCGCAGAACGTGTCTCGTCACGAAAAAGCGTTCTAGCACGAAAGAACATACCCGTCCTACTGCATTGGTACAGAGCCTTTTCAAGTTGACTCAAAAGGCATTTTCTTGCAGCCAACCCTCTCAAACGAAGTACCTCAAAGAGAGAGTAAGTACAGAATCCGTATCCCTAGGAACGCATCTGTCCTACTGCAGTAGTACAGGTGTCAACTTAAAAGCTATGTTCTTGCATTGCATGGATCCACCCCTTTCAAAGAACGTGCATCAGGCGGAGACTGGGTATAACCAGCAATGTTTTTGAGTCGTCTCAAAAAAAGGAGACTGGGTATAACCAGCAATGTTTTCGAACCACACAAGGGTGACTTGGAAAGGCTCGCAGCAACACCTGGTGACCTCTTGTCTAGATGAGGCGGCGTCATCGTATTTTGAACCATGAACACACGTAACGTGGTGAGGGCATCTCTAGATGAAGCGGCGACTGACTGTGCCTGGAAATGACCTGGTGACTTGAGATAAAAAGAGCAGGTAACTCGGCAAAGGGGAGCACGAGTCGTACCGTGGTGAGGGCAGCTCTGAAGGAGGTGGTGACTGGCTATGCGTTCGAATGGCCAGGTTATTCAAATCATTACCAAACGTAACTCGGCCGATGGGAGCTAGAGTCAAAGCTTGGGTCGTGTAATGATACAGGACCGAAGGAACTTGACTTGGTGATTGCACCTCTAGGTGACGTAGTGAGTACTTCTATAACCCTGCAGACCTCGAAAAAAAGGAGAACTTGAGCCGAAGATTGGATCCGTCAGAGTAGTGTAAGCACTGCGCTGGTGACGATAGCTCCAGGTGAGCAGGTTCGTTCAGCTAACTCTGACCCAACAGCACCTCGGCAAGAGAAAGTTCGAGACGTGACTTGGGCCCTTCATAGTGATACAGGCAGGAACCGACGGGATTTGACTTGGTTATCGCACATGTAAGTGGGTTCGTGTAACCCTACACACCTCGAAAAGAGAGTGCTCGCGTCCAAGACTGGCCTCGTCGGATTGGTACAAGCACCGGCGAAACTTGACTTGTTGAATGCACCCCTAGATGACCAACGCACATCATCAAGTAAGAGCTCTCGAGTCAATACTTGGATCCGTCGCAGTGGTGTAGGCACCAGTGATGAGTAAAACTCTATGACTTGATTCGTTCGACTTGCTAGAACATCGGTTCGCACCTCGGTCAGAGAGAGCTCGCGTCAAAGACTGACCTCGTCCGATTGGTACAGGCACCGGCGGAACTTGACTTGTTGGATGCACCCCTAAATGACCAACGCACCTCAACAAGTAAGAGCTCTCGAGTCAATACTTGGATCCGTCGCAATGGTGTAGGCACCAGTGATGAGTAAAGCTATATGACTTGGTTCATTGCTAGAACATCGGTTCGCACCTCGGTCAGGGAGAGCTCGAGGAGGAACTTGGGCCCGTCATCACGATACAGGAAAACGGCAAAACTTATCTTGGTAATTTCACCTCTGAATTAATAATTCCCTACACCTTTTTCTCAATTTTTTTCACAGAAAAGGAAATGGTGTAAGCAGCGACCGTATAACCCAGCGTACCTCGGTCAAAGAGAGCTCGAGACGGAACTTGGGCCCGTCGTAGTGATACAGGAACCGACGGAACTTGGTCTCGTCCAGCGGTGACCGTTGCTCCCGCAGACGAACCCTAACCTGCATGACGCACAAAACAGAAGGTGGAAGACCAAGGGGATAGTCCTCTTGCCAATGCTCCATGAGAAAAGAAAGTGACAGTACAGTTTCAGGAACAGCAACACAAATTCACGCTAAGAAAATCATTTACCAAACAAACAAATAAAAAAAAGGGAGGGGGGGGGGTGGGGAAGGTGGGGGGGATTCGGGGGGTGTTGGGGGGGTGGAGGGTTGAGGGGAAAGGGGAGAAGGAGAGGGAGGGGATTCAACAGCCTGAAGCACAAGGTGAACCTTACTTGTGATGGAAATTTCGACAACGACGGGTCTAGGTTCAGGCCACCTTCGCTTGATGCCTATAATGGTTTGGGTGACGAAACGGCAAGAAGAGGAAGGAGCAGCGAAACAAGAACACAGAAATCAAGCGTGAGGGGACGGAGTTAGAGAGAGAAAGGGAGGCAATCTGATGCTTCGCCGGTTCTCAGAACGCTAGCTATGAGCTATTCTACACCTTAGCGGTCTCTACGTCACAACCATTTACAGTACAGCAGGAAAAGTATAAACTTCCATTGATCAAATGCAGCGTTCTTCTGTTCTAAACAACTCTTTGGCTACCAAGGGATTCTGATAACAAACCTCGAAGACGCCGTGTAAATGGTGAGTGGTGTAGTTGTAGAGAAACAGCGGCATTCCCGGTTGAATCCCCCGAACCGACTCGTGATACTTCTGCGGTAAGCCTGTAAGCAAGGCATATGGGAGATCGAAGAACAGCGTGCGAGAACGAATCCTCGTATCGCAAAACGGCATTTGTTTCGCCTCGAACAGGATCGAACGGAGATCTAGCAACGAACGTCAACATGGGAATGGCACATATAGTTTGTCAGTCACTGACTGAATACGAGCCCATCGACAGCTTGAAAAGGACACGGAAGAAAAAAAACTACAAAGAGACCTTCCCACGTAGAGTAAAAAAAAAAACGAAGGATGCGCATTAAGTTACAAGAACGTCGTTGAAACTGCGATGACGTGAGCACTGTGAACGACGTAACTTTCAAAAAGACTCAGAAGTCATTTCGTCGAAGCTGCGATAAAGCGAGCAACGCGAACGCGTACGACGGGAACCAATACTGAAGAGGGCATCCAATGTTCGACAGCGATCGAGGGGTAAACGAGAATCCATTCCTCTTATCAGGTGCCTTAGTAGTTGACATCAAAAGCTTTCGGCTGTGAACGATTTGCCTAACGCGATCTGCGGCTCGATCGGCGTATCGCGTATCGATCACCGAGAGACGCAAACCTGTCGATCGCCGACAGTTGTAAACCTGTCAATCGCCACGTCACGGTCTCCATCGTTTGGTTGTTATACACGAACACGTAAACCGCCAGCTGCGCTGAAGCCAACCCAAAAGCATCAACAAGGAGAACGGATACCCGTCGATCGGCAAGAAACTGACTTTTAAGTCGACTCAAAAGTCAGCTCGAATACGTCACCCGTCAGCTGCGCTGAAGCCAACCCCCAAAGCATCACCAACGAGAACAGATACCCGTCGATCGGCACGAAACGGCTCACCGAAAAGCTCGCGTTTAATGTCATCTTCCATGGTTTCATTGTTGCACACGAATATATAACCCGCAAGAGGGTCCTCCAACGGAGGAACGTTCGTTGACGGTACGGCAGACTTCCGATCGTGAAACCCCTCCTGCTGCCGGTACGTCTTTAAGTTGGCCATTTCAAATGGCCTGGCGGAGGGCCTGGACGGCCCAGCGCCTGAACCTAAGACTGCTTCACAAACTGAAAACTAACGGAGATTAATATGGCGCTTCCGTTAGTGGCCGACTCGACCTGGCCGTCCAACTAAACCCCGATAATGGAGGATGCAACGATAGGGTTCCGACGTAGCAGACAGATGAACGAGAGAGATCGAGACGCCGATGGCAGTCTTGTGGGAGTCAAGACCGGGAAAGTAAGCTATTCCTGCCTTGACACACACTCCAGAAGATACAGAATCTGCTCCAAACGCCCTAAACCAGAACCGTTGGTGTGTGAAAGAGCAGGACGGAATTCCGCGAAAAAGGGAGGAGAGCTGGGGGGTTTGGGTTGGGGAGAACGAGACGAGGCAGCAAGCATGTTTGAGGTGAGGGTGTCGGCTCAACCGTTCTGTTATCCCCTGTAACGCGCAGAAGCGCTTTGAAGGTCCTATTAAACATTTTGCACCGCAAACAAATATCTTGGGCCTTGAACGAAGGGGGATGGATGGGAGGGGGGAGGAGGCATGCGGGAGGGCATGATGGAATGGAATGGGATGGAAGCGAAGCGCAGTGTGCGAGGTGAAGACGCTGTGCGACATAAACGATATCAGATGCGATGTCCTTGTGATGGCTGGCCTGCGTGCCTGTCG